GTTGTTATCGTCTTAGATAATGAATTATCTCGAGTTTCAAACGTATTCTTTTCATTAGATATACATTTCGTACGATTCCGTTCCAGTGAAATTTCGAACGAATTATATAGGTATATATTTTATTTCGGAAACTAACGAGTTACACGCGTTCCTAAGTCGAATAATATTTGTTTTTCAAGCTGACGGTACTTTTTGTCGGATTGCGCTCTAAGTTGCAACTTTCAACATTTTATTAACATGTTTGCTCTTTTCACATCACTTTATTGCTTCCGCTTCGAAGCGAATTCATATTTTAAGGACAATCTAATAATAATAATGTCTGTCCATGATGTATATTATAATACTTAAGTTTCTGTAGATCCCGTGTTTCCTCGGAAAAAAAATAAACAAATATAAGATACGGCATTATATCTGTGAATTTCKATTTTATTGTACCTATACCTTAATTCATGTATTAAGCATATTTTTGAATGTGGTAAAACCATTCTGATCTTTCACGACAGATCTTTAAGAACATGCAGTCTCTGGAATTTTCGTCAAAATCGATAAAGTAATTTTTGAGCTTACAGGCAACTAACATAAGGTAGAAAAATAATTGTATTAATTAACTCTCATATTATCTGACATCTGATAAAATTACTTTATTAAAAGCCACAATTACGACAATTGTATGTATATTTTTACCCCATATTCCATAGGAGAAGTATTGGCAACATAGTTCCTTCTCCGGTCCTCGATACCATAGAAAAAAAAATCCCATATTCCCGTGTAACCAATGGCAACCACTTATATGAAAAAAAAAATATATATTTATACTAATACCTACGATTATTGTTATAATTTGTACCTAAACCAATGGAAACTATTTTTGCGTTATTTTATTGTAAAATACACCTGAACCACTATCCTTAATTTCAATATTATACGTTTTAAGGTTTTTGAGAATTAACAATCGACAAGTGTATGAGAGAGCGGTATTTGGGATTTTATTCATCATGTAAGTATGTAGAACGTTCTGTTGAATATATTGCATAATAATATTTATTTATTTTTTATTAAAGAAATAACTTTCGACAACTTGGCCATTAGGATAAGATACATTTTTTTTTTTTGAAAGGTGTTACACAATAATAAAGGAAAAGTTTAATAACAATAACAATAAATGTTTAAATTATATCATAATAATAATAATAATAATAATAATAATAATAAGGTTGTGTTTTATTTTTTTTTAAATGATTAAATAAGTTTGTCCAGTCCTGTCTCCTGAAGAAACACGAATATGATTGGTGATTGCAGAGAAGGTCCTAGTATATCGTATAAATCGCTAGATAGATTATTGCGATTTCTTGCATAATAATATTGTATCTGTGTTAGTGCATGCGATGATAAATAAAAATATTCTTTTTTATAATTCTAATTAGTAATATTATCAACTCGTTAATTTGGTCTGTTATGTATATAAGTTAGGCTGAATCTATAATATCGAGGATGTTTAGGGAATATCATCATAATGAAGTCGAGTACAAATCAAGTCTCAAAACATTTAATGTCTTTCCTACTGAGAACGGAACTGCCGCAAAAGAGCAGCAGCAGTAGTCGTTTCGAATCAGTAAAATAAATACAATTAAAAATGTTTTATTCTCCCTGGTACTTCACTTTTTGTACAAATTAATTAATTTACGACTTAATTTTGAATATTTGACTTACTATATATTTTCGTTTAAAATCACATCATGACGTGTACGTTCTTGTACATTATACACGTTTACCCGTGTTAGGTGTTTTATACAAATAATAAACTGCTTTTAACACTGATTTTTTTTTGCACGCGTTTCAATTTTTTAAACCAATTATGAAGATTAAAATGTCGTAAAATAATATTTTAATACGCGTACGTGCTATTAACATATTATACATATTTGCATGCATTAACATCAATTATTAAGTCGACATAATGCCGCGTGGGAGTAGATTTAGACGAATCGCTATAAATCCCAAGTCTCAAACTATGACAGGATTTTAATGCTTTGGATTTGACCGCAGTCATTTGATTTTAAAATATGTAATTCAACTCTGGATTTTTTTGTATATTTTTACGGAATTTAATTCACACGTAGTCGCAATTATACATAGTAACAAACGGTATTATTTTCGAAAGTTATGGTCTTGAACGTTATAAGTAGATATTATTTTTTTTAAACGGTCACCCCCGACATGCATATTGTTCACCCAATGTCGCCGATATTAATATTAACTTCTTCTAAATTTTGGTGTATCTGTAACAATAATTGTATTAATCAAGAAAAGAATATAGTTGTGACTTCACCACTCTTCTACCTGATTGGATCAGGTGGATATTTTTTTGAATGGCTACATAATAGCAATTAGATTTTGAGCTACTTATGTTTTGTATGTGAATGAGATTATATAGTTTTTTGGGTGTGAGGAGTAGTCTCTCGAAAGTTGTGTAGAGTCGTGCTTGATTTGATTAAAAAATTCAACCCAGACGGTACTTAAGAGTTAAAAAGCGTAATTTTTGGAAATTCCTGTCGTTTTTCAAAACATTTGAGAAAAATTTTGAAGTATAGAAAAACGGAAACGTTTATGTAATGACTTTTATTAAGAAGAAATAGATTTTATTTTATGTCAAAATTAAGAAAACCTGTTCTAGTGTATCTAATTTCGAAAATTTATCTTAACATTAATCAGGTATTAAATATTTACAATTTTTTTTGTTCCGACTTCATGAGTGAAACAGAATATCAATAATTTATATCTCTTTCATTTTTTTCTTATACTACTCTCAATATTTTTTTTGAAGATGCTGAAATTTTAAACATTGCAGTTGTGCAATATTTTTTTTATAGATTGTAGTATATTTTTTAATTGTCATTAAGTGAGAAGGAGTAAATATATTTCAATAATATCGTCCTTTTATCCATTTCCTTTATTTTTTATTTATATATTATGTTCTCGTATTACGAAACATAAAAATGTATTTTATTAAAGTAGGTAGCTAATTTTAAAAACTGATTGGGTAGGTTATTACTATATAATATAGCTACTTACTAAATACATTGATTATATTTTATGGTTTTAGATAATACAATTAATAATATGTTAAATATTTAACGTGTTATAAACACATTTTCATCATAATATTATTATATAAAAGTATATTATACATTATAGTGCTTTACACAAATAATGAAAAAGTTTAAAACATATTATTAGATAATTTTTATATTTAAAATTATAGACTGGGAAAAATGAAATGTAGAGTGTTCCTTAGCCGCAATATAGCGCTATTCTGATTTTAAACAATATCTTATCTTAATATTAAAATAATATTAATAATGATCCTATGCCTATTATGTATTATGTTATTTATTATTATTATTATTATTATTATTATTTTTTATTTGAATTAAGGCTTTAACTACTAATAAGGTTATAAGTCTAGTACTGTGTAAGGGGGAATGGTTGTTGGAACACGTTTTGTATATCTACCAAGGATTTGTTCGCATGTTGAGCATGCGACCAAGCCACGTTAATACTTAATTATAATAGGAATCTAAGAATTTTATTTTAATATCATTTTGAATTACATACTATCCTAATTTATTCATTTTACAAACTATGATGGTACTTATCTATATTTTGTTTGCATTACAATTGATGCAATTTAAAATATTATGTATAAGTAATAATGACTAATGCATTTCAGTTACAGTATATTTGACATATTATCAAAAGGTTAAACAATTGTATTATTATCGTTTAAATTTTAGACCCAAATAGAATAATGGAAGTTCTTGCTGCAGCATTGATCTTATTTCGTAAATTGTTAAATTTAGTCGAATTGTGTGGTTAACAAGCAAATCCCTTTGCGCTCCAGGTTACTATACTTTGAAGTAACCACACTATACACGCATGGTATACTTTTATTATTTTACGAGTTCTCTAACTTTCTATTATACTACTGCAGAATATAACTATATGCGGTGGTTTCCACACGAACAAATACTATTAAATTCGGAATCAATATTGAAGTACTAATGGCCAAATTTATTAAATAGATAGGATATTTTTGATATTTGCAAACGATTTGGGGTTTGATCGAACATTAAATAATATAAAAAAATATAAATATATGATTATCAATCACGACGCACGTTATAGAGTATAATAGAAAAAGCGGATAAATGAAAAATTGATATAAGTTAAATATATGAAAAAAATTATAAAAATTATATAGGTAGATACCTCTTAAATAATTTCAGATTCACTTGTGTATAAAAATTATTTTTAAATTACCCCAAAAAAATATTTAGAAAAAAGTTATCTTGATTCAAATTATAAAAAATAAACAACGTGACTTTATTATCATTAACATTTTTTATTTTGAATTTTTCTAAAAAAAATGTTCATATAATTTTTAAATTTTTATTTTCAGTTTAAAAAAATTAAACAAACATTTTTATAATGTCGTGTCGTTACATTGCTAGCTGAAAAAGGTTTTTAATTATATTTAACACAATTTAAAATGATGTTTAAAAAAAGTTGTTTCATTTGTCATATCATTCTGCTAAACCCCGTAAATGTAGTAACATTATTATAATACATAAAAAATATATAAATATATATTGTTTCGCACAGGCAACGAGGTTATTTATTAGTTTTTAATAGTTGAATGTTAAGACGTCAACATCTAAGGTTATTAGCCAGCCTAGTTTTAGTTTAAACATGATGTACTCGTATATAGGTTGTATAGGTAAAATAAAAAAACACATTGTTTACTGTTATTTATAATTTTTTGCTTAAGCTTATATTTAAAAAATTAAATATTAAGTGTTTTCTTCGTTCAGTGCTTGTTGGATTGAGGATAAAAAAAATTTGATGGTTTTAAAATGTTTTCTATTTAAATCAATAACTATAAACCTACATAATTATGTACAATATATATATTTTTTAAACAATTCTATGTATTTTAATAGGTTCACTTTCTTATTCTTGGACAACGGTATAAACTCGGTTACAACTACTCAATAGACATTAATATACAGTTACCGGTACGTAAACTTATTCCTTCGGAAATAAATGTATTTTAATCTGCGTTATAGAATATAGTTTATTTAGTATCAAACTATAATAATCAAGTATCAGATGGATGTGCACATTTTAATTATATCTATATTATTTTGTTATGCATTGCATTGTTTTGGTACAGTTCAGCTAGTAAATCATATAGGAATAAATTATTATAATTTATAACTTAGATGGGTAATAGGTAATAATAATCATTTAAAGTTAATATTACATAAAGTTATCGTGTAAGAAAAACAACAGCTAGGAACTAATAAACAACGAGAAAAACGAGGGGTATATGTATATTTAGAAAAATAGCATAATTTAAGACGTATACACTATACAACGTGATTATCTAAAACGTAATTTACTTAATTATATCCTAAACATTTTTTTACATAATCTTAATAATTT